GTCCACGTGAGGATGACTGTTGCGGAACAGCAGGAACGGGTGGACAGACAGTGGCGGGACTGGGAGCAGGCTGCTGAGCAAAAGCAGCCAGGCTTAGAAGGACAAATGTCAAATGCTTTCTCTCATCCATGGAATCTGCATTTTATAGACACATACATCCACACCAAGAAAAGCAGAGGGGTATTTGGGAGAAGAAGGGGAAACGGGAAGAGGAAGAGCCAGGAGCAGATAACAGTGAATAAGGCCAGGACACAAGATCTTGAATGATAGGTTGTTACTATTAAGCCAGAACTCTATACAAGGAAGGCAAACTAATAAAACATGTCTTATGATTTGATGCCAACATTGTGGACCCAGCCATGCCTGCCATCGTGCCTGCCTAGCTGTGAGGGACTGCATCCCTCTGAACTAACTCAGAATCACCCCCTCTCCCCTTGAGCTGTTTTCTGTCAAGTATTTGTTCAAAGCTAAGAAGAGAAACTAATGCACCAATGGTGGTAGTTCAAGTGTGAACCACACACCCAGCTCTCTGATCGAAATATTGTATGTCCATAGTCTTCCCAGTTGGGCCTGGAGTTGGGCCCAAAGTTCCAGCTACTCAGGGATTAAGGTTTAAAAATTTATAGTGGAGGCTGGCAGTGGTGGTGCACTCCTTTAATCTCAACACTCGGGAGGCAGAGGCAAGTGGATCTCTGTAAGTTTGAGGTCTACACAGTGAGTGTCAGAATAGCAAAGGCTATACAGGGAAATCCTGTCTCAAAAAATCTTTTTTTATAAAGGGCATAGGGGAGAATGCCTTTAATCCCAGCACTCGGGAGGCAGAGGCAGGGGGATCTTTGTTAGTCTGAGGATAGCCTGATTTACATAGGGAGTTTCCAGACCAGTTAGGGCTGTATAGTAAGACACTGTGTTTAAAACACAAACAAAAAAATCCAGTGTGTGTGTGTGTGTGTGTGTGTGTGTGTGTGTGTCCTACAGTGTGAGTTCAAGGTCAGCCTAGGTAACTTAGCAAGAACCTATCTCAAAATGTTTTAAGGTTCTAGTGGGGAGGGAGCACCTAGATAGCTCAATGGGTAAAGGAGCTGCTGTAAAACCTGACAACTCAAGACAGTCTTCTGTGCTTACGTGATGGAAGGAGAGAATCAACTTCTAGAAGTTGTCCTGTGACCTTCACACAAGCACTATGACACAGGCATGCACACTCAGGGGTGTTTGCACATGCACACAAACACTAAATTATTTATTTATTTATTTTTAGTTAGCAGGGTTGGGAAGAAGTTTCAGTGGATAAAGCATTTGCCACACAAGTCTGATGACCCAAGTTTGAATCCCCAGCACTGCATAAAATAAGCATGGTTGCATGAGTCAGCAATGCCAGTTCTCCTACAGATAGATGGGAGAGAGAAATGGGAGAAGCCTGGCACATACAGAGCTGAAAAACAGAGAGCCTGTCTAAAGGTGGAAAACAAGGACATCAAACCTGAGGTTGCCCTCTGAACTCCACAGATACACACCCACCCACACATCATACACAACACAGAAAAAAAAAAAGACTTTTAAGATTAGCTACCAAGCAAAAGCATAGTAGCACATGGCTGTTCTCCCAGCACTCAGGAAGCTGAGGCAGGAGGATCGTGAGTTGGAGTCCAGTCTGGGCAACATAGCAAGTCATAATATCAGAAACAAAAACAAATTAGCTACCAACTGAACATACACAGCCCAAAGGCAACAACGGGTTTCTAAGCTGTATGAATCAATAAAGCTAGCAGGTAATCCTCTTAGAGTAATAACAGTTACTGTTGGTGTTCTCCAGGGTGTGTCTGACTCAAACCTCACAAAGGTCCCATAAGCTGGTACCCAATCCCATGTAAAACCTCTCTGCAGCATGAATGCCACTCCATTCGGAAGTAACTGATATCTCTAGAAATTGGACTTTGATGGTCTTGGGAACTAAGAGCCTCTCCCATCTTCCCAACCTCTTCTGACACCAATAGCACCTCCTCATTGCAACCACGCCAGCCTGTCCCATCCCCAGAGGCACCAGGCTCCCCCTCCATTTGGGCCTCTTTTCCTTTCTCTCCACAGACTTAACCCCTTCTCATTCTCAGGTCTCGTGACAGAGCTGCTGCCTTCCCCAGAGCCTGTCTGTTGCAACACAGCCGTGTATCATCTCCTTCCCAGGGTGAAGCAACATAAGAGCAGGCTCAGATCTGTGGGTCTTCTTACTCTTTAGAACGATCTGTGTGCATCGTGCGTGGGTGCAGATAATAAAACCGGAAAGGGGCCCGTGAGACAGACCGTGTTATTGGGGAGGGTATGGGGGAGGGCAATAAAGCACCCTGAGTGATGTAGACACAGCACTTACTAGAAAGTGAAGGACCCACAGGAGGGGGACACGGTGGTGGTGGTGGGAGAATCAGCAAATTTTATTTGAAAATGCAACAATGAAATCGAATAGTGTTTGCTAATTAAAAATAATTTTTTAATTATATGGGTATTGGGATGGCTCAGCAGGTAAAGGTACTTACCACTCAAACTGACAACACCAGTTTAATCCCCAAACCACAGTAGGAGAGAGACTGACTCCCAAGTTTTCCTCTGACCTCCACATATGTACCATGGCACAAATGCCCTAATACGCTTTCCTGCACATATACACTAAATACGTGTAAAAGAATTAATAGAAACTTCCACAAAGCAGTCTCTCAGCCTTTTATTTTAAAAAACTTCTAAAGCAAGACAGAATAGTTTGCATGTGTTTCCCCTCCCTGTCACTAATGCTACCTACCCTCCACAACCACAGCCAGGACCGTGTCATTAACACGGCTAAAAGGCCATTCTGAGCCAGCGCCGAGATGGGGATCGCACAACACATCTCTACACTTTATTCTTTCCTGGAATGTGACTGTTTCTAGATCTTTCCTTATTATTCCTGGTTTTGACCTTGGAGAACTGTTCCAGACTAGCTGGTCATGGTTATATTGAAATGACATACTTCTAAAGAGAATCTCAGGGAAATGACCTATGTCCTTCAATAATTGCTCATTTTATAGGGTTTTGTTTTTTGACACAGGGTCTCAGCTGTAGCCCAAGTTAGCCTCGAATTTAAAATCCTCTAAGGGCTAGATTGCAAGTGTTTGCCATCACATGCTGCAGGCTAAGATGTTTAAAGCATGCAGACACTTGCTCTGTGCTGGCTCATCCCAGGCTTAGCATCCACATGGCTAAATAAATGCCTGTGACATTTATTCCTGAGGCTGCTGATCTTTTTCTATTTGTTTTTCCTTGAGATCCACTGTGTTAAGGGTTCTATCCTGTGTTCTTATTTAAAAGGTTCAAATGAGTTATTGTCATTTTTCTTTTGCTCAAATTGACCAAGACTTAGTCATCGAGTTGGCTCCAAGTTGACTCATGCATTTTCTTAATGTGGAGTCCATGCCTTTGATCTCAGCATCCTGGGGCCAGAGGCAGGCAGATCTCTGGGAGCGCAAAGCCAGCCTGGTCTGCATAGTGAGTTCCAGGCCAGCCAGGGATATACAGAGAGACCCTGTCTCAAAAAATAAAATTAAAAATTTCATATATATCAGTATTCTCAGCTTCACGGAAGCTTTGAGACTATTGAGGGCTACGTTGAGACCCTGTCTCAAAACAAAATAAATATAAGAGAAAAAAGAAACCCCACACAAAATATAAAAACCCACCTTCCAGACTGGGCATGGTGACACCCGCCTTTAATCCCAGTATTCAGGAGGGTGCATGGCAGAGCAGAGTAGTTTAACAGGATGATGTGGGCAGGGTTGGGAAATGGAGTACCATGAGGGAATGATAAATACAGGGTTGGGAAGCAGGGTATCATGGTGGGATGGATGCAGGCGTGCTCACTTCATGTGGGCAGGAAGCAAATGGAGAAACAAGAAAGAGCTGGTAGGCCAACATCCTCTTCAAGTGCCTGCTCCCAAAGACCTCGTTTCCTTCTTTCTAGGCCTCAGAACACACCACTCTGCTTTGTTCCACGACCTAAGATGTCATCCTTCAAACTTACCTGCACCCCTCAAGAGACATTAAGGCATATTTTAATAAGAATGACAGGCATAAAAAGGTTTCCTGAGCTAGTAAGGTTCTGTTCTGAACGTGGGTGCCGATTTGGTGGCACATGCATATAATCCCAGCGAGCAGGGGGCTGGTACAGAAGGATTGAGTTCCAGGCTAATCTCTACCACCCAGTGAGAAACCAAAGCACAAAAGCAGAATGCAAACTAGAAATCAAAAGAGAGCTAAACATGGTGGAGTAGGCCTGTAATCCTGAAGGCAGAAGGAAGTCAAGTCTAGAGACATAGGTATTTGCTACATATGAGGTTTGAGGGCACTCGAGGCTAGAGCAAGACCCCGTCTCAAAATTAAAGAGTGGGGAGGAGCTCAGTCAAGTACTTACAAGTGTGAGGCCCTGAGTTCAGATCCCCTGAGCCATGTAAAACCCTGGGTGAGTATGATGGACTACATGTGTCATCTCAGCAATGGTGAGAAGTGAGGTAGGTGGAGGCAGGTAGATAGATACCTAGGACTCGCTAACCGGACATCCTGGCTTGCACAGTGAGTTTCAGGTTAATGAGACCCTGTTTCAAACAAAAAGCGGAAAACACCCAAGGGTGTCCTCTGGTACACACACACACACAGAGAGAGAGAGAGAGAGAGAGAGAGAGAGAGAGAGAGAGAGAGAGAAGAAAAAATAAAAGAAAATGAAGAAATGAAAAGAAGAAAAGACAGAATGGTGGGAAACTGTAGGTAAAGAAAGTAAAATTGTACCGGAGAGCTCAGATTCACCCTCAGAGCAAAGCAGAAATCCCAGCTACTACAGAGATAAACACAAGCACCCATGTTTGGTGATGTCTGGAGTCCCCTGTACACCAGGTCCTTCCACAACAACAGCCCACCACAAACAAACTTCCAAAACACTCAGCCACGCCCAGTGAAGAATGCAACCAAGAAAAGGAGGGCACTCGGCAAGTTAAAGAGATTTATTGCCAGCCTAGGCTTCCCGTCCAGAACTCGGGCCGTCCGAGGCTCAGAAAGTTGTCATGGTGTAACCCGATGTAGGACCCACTCTCTTCATGGGATCCCTGTTCCACATGGTGGTTTCTGGGGGTCCCCCTCCAGTGTGAACCCCTGTACTCTGATGGTGATGAACTCTGAGCTGGCACAGTGCCCAGCTCTCAGAGACCACCTGGACCTCCTCTAGTGCAGGCTGAGCCCTCTTTGAGGTCAGGCACGGTGGACTTGATCCTGAAGAGGGAAGAGATGATGCCAGGTAACTTGAGACTGAGAAGATGAACAGGTGTGAGAAAGCAGTCACCTGTGAGCCCGAGAACCCCCAGACAAGTCCTTGTGCCCCCTCTGGCCTGTACAGTATATAAAAAACATTTGTTACCAACAGTTAAAAATTCTAAGATTTCATATAAAAATCTGGGTTTGGAGCCTAAGGGAGAAAAAATATTGTGACTATCTGGCAACATTCTTACATGGCACTTACTGCTCACATTGGACTCCTCCCCCGAGGACTAGATTTGCCATTCCAGACCCTGGTCACCTGGCACCAGAGCACATGGATTTGGGGTTTGATTCCTTGTCTAGTAGAAGGAATGTCATCCCACTCCTTGTAAGTGTGTCAGCCAAAAAAGGAAAAGTGAAAGCCATGCCCAGAAGCGATTGCCTTGGCTCCCGAGGCCTTCTGCTTAGCCCTGCAGGCACCTGGGCTTTTACGGAGCTTAGTGGAACATGCCCATCATGACTCCCACGGGGTTTCTGCCGCACACCGCCCTGCCTCTCCTGGACCCATCCAGGCCCTGTGGTGGCTAGGCAAGCTGGGAAGAGAGTATAATTAATCGTGGCAGTTAATGGGGGGCAGACTAAGACGGATTACCTAGGTCTCTTCGTAGGAGGAGAAGTTTAGGGTGCAATGAGAAAAGTTAATACTGTTATTCTTGTTTTAAGTTGGTGACTCAAAAGAAGGGGTCGGGGTGGGGATAACTTCAGGAGGCCAAGGTTGGGTCAGTTTGAACTTAAGATTCCTCAAACATGTTGGTTCCCATTCCTTGACTGTTTCGGACAGGAAAGAAACTCTTAGAAAGTCGTAGGGGTGGGGAGGAGCTCGGCTCACAGCCCAGCAGATGTCGGCCAGCCTGGTCCATCCTCCCTCGGGTCAGGTTGCACAATGATTTGCAGAGAGAGAACGGTAGGAGAATGCAGCTAGGGACGTGCAGGTCTGGGCCCTGGAACACAGAAGAGGAGGCATGTCTTCCTGGTGCCCCTTCATTCTGTGGTGGCTGCTGCCAGGCTATCTGCCCTTGAGAGAGACAGCGATCTTGAGGCAGCCCAGGCGCTTCCCACCGCTGCTCAGGACACTCTGGATGCGGTAGTTGCCGGTGCTCAGCCAGCTTGGCAGCTCCAGGTCAGGCACTGTGAAGTTGCTCGTGGGCAGTGAGTAGGTGCCCTAAGGGGAAGAAGTGAGCCCAGGTCAGGGTAGCCTACCCACCTACAGCTATGATTTGCCCCTCTCTCCATTCTGCTAAGAGCCAGGAGTGCTGCCATAACGCTTTTCCAGGCTGGGTAAACATAAAGGGCACCAGTGGTCACATCTAAGCACAAAGCTGCCCCATTCCACCGATGGATAAACCAAGGCCCCCGGCCTCCAGCATATACCCACAGAAGCAATATGCAGCATGGGAAGGCCACACCCTCCCTCTCTCTACCACAGAGGAGTAGTTAGTACCTTGACACTCCAGTACTCACTTCCTTGAAGGGGCAGTGGCAGGGTAGCCCATAGCTGTGCAGGGGTTCCGGACAGGACTCTCCGGGGGGGATGTACAGGTCCAACAGTTGACAGAAATCCTCATAGGTACAGCTGCCTATCTGCTCCACACAAGGGATCTTGACCCAGAAGCCAGCTACTTCCTTCTCCACCACGAGTTCCACCTGGCACAGGATTTGACCAAGGTGACATTGTGAGCTCCAGGGCACACATTCCAGCTCCTGTCTCTTGAAGTTTCATCTCACAACCAGCTGCAATAGGCTCATAGACCAATCTCAGAGTAATCTATACATTTCCATTGGTTTGTTGGAGACAGGGTCTAGAACAGGATGGCCTTGAATTTACAGTTCCCCACTGTCTCTTCCTCAAGGGTACGATTTGGCTGGGGGGATGTTCACACTGAGTCCCAGTATTCACCCTTCCTGAGAGTGTGGTGGTCACAGATCACCAAATGTCCCTTCTCTCTGACCCACAAACCATCTTCCAGTTGTCACTTCCAATGTCACTGTCCACTAGCTGGCTGACTGTGGCACATGTGGGCCGCCATCCAGTCTCAGCTATAGGGTCTTTCTCTCTGTTGGAGCACAGATGACAGGGTAAAACATGGAAACACAGTTAGGCACAGCAGTGCACAGCTCCTGGTACCCTGGAGGAACTACAAGTTCAAGGCCAGCCTGGACTACACACCTAGACCTTTCAAATAAACAAACAAATGGAAATGTATGGGGAGATTACTCTGAGGCTGGTCTATGAGCCTTATTGTGGCCGGTTATAGGAGCTGAATGACTTCCCCAGACTCACCTGGATGAGAAAGCTAGAATGATCTTCCCAGTGCCAAGCTACCCTGATCCCACTCCTGTTCTAATGACTGCCTACCTGACTGAAGAGAGCAGCCAGGACTCCCAGGCAAACAGCCCAGTTGCACTAGGCGCATGCAGAAGATTAACTCTATAAGTTGTCATGCATGCCAGTTGTCTCTCAGAGCCAGGATGCTGTGTGTGTGTGTGTGTGTGTGTGTGTGTGTGTGTGTGTGTTTTCTCAGGCACCCTCCCCTTTGGTTTTTAAGTCAGAGTCTCTTACTGATTCATCTAGACTGGTTTGCCAGGGATCCCCCCCATCTCTACCTCCTTAGGTCCAAGAGCATACTACATCACGCCTGGCTTTTTACATGGGTCCTGGGGATTGAATACAAGTCCTAATGCTTGCACAGGAAGCGTGTTATCAGGTAAGCCATCTCCCAGACCTGGAAGCCACAGTTTTCAAATCCCTTTCGACATGCTAGCAATCTTCAGTCTCAACCTCACTTTATTTCAGGGTTTCACTTTGTGCTGTTTTTGATTTTGGTGTTTTTGAGGCAGGATTTTATGTGGCCAAAGCTGGTCTGAAACTTGCTGTATAACATAAAATGACCATGACTTCCAAATCCTCCCGCCTCCACCTCCCAGATGCTGGGATTAATTATGGTTGTGGAACCTGGCCGGGGTTCCACTTCTGAGAAATAAATCTTGGTATGGTCCTTATTCCTTCAGACTCCACTAGACCCAGGCTCCTGCCTGTATCTTCAAATGCCCTCATGTCAGAGTATCGGCTGAGAGAGGGTGATGTCAGCATGGCCTGACTCCTGCTTGCCTCACTGACCTGCTCTATTAACTAATATGAATCCACCCTGATTGCACAGCACCCTTTGCCCCAGCCTGCCTTCTCCTCTGGGCAAGCCTACTCCTCCTCAGATCAGGAAGAGCCAGAGGGTCTGGGTTAGAAGGTTAATTCTGCCCCTGAGGGAGTCAGTCAACTTCCTTCAGCCTCTACTTACTCAGTTCCAAGAGTTGGGTGTTTTATACAGTACCTACCTCTTTCTTGAGACCCCCTTCATAGGGTCTGCCCTGCACAGAGGTTCCCCAGTTTTTGTTTTGTTTTTTGACAAAGGGTCTCACTATATAGCTCCAGTTGTCCTGGAACTCACTATAAACATACAGGTTGGCCTCAAACTCACACTGATCCACCTGCCTCTGTGCCAAGTGCTGGGGATTAAAGGTGTGTACCACTCACTATTCCCAGTTTTAGACCAGAGAGACAGGCACTGCCAGCAGGAACCAGGCACTTGGGTTGTCAGGCACTTCCCGAGGACCTTGGCTACCCTCTCCTAGCTGGACCATTATTCCTCCACTTGGAGAGGGTTGTTTCTGGAATTTTATCTCATAAGGAAACCCACTAGGGTCAAGAATATAAGAGTCAGCAGGGCAGTGGTGGTGCACATCTTTAGTCCCAGCACTTGGGAGGCAGAGGCAGGTGGATCTCTGAGTTTGAGGCCAGTTTGGTCGACAGAATGAGGTCCAGGACAGCCATGGTTACAGAGAAATCTCATCTCAAAAAAATAAATTAATTAAAAATAAATGAGGCTAGGGAAAGATAAAGGGCCTGGCAGGCAAGCATGAGGCCCTGAGTTCAGATCCCAGGGCCCAGGCAAAAGCTGTGTGCAGTGCTGCAGGTCCACCGCTGAAGCAGCAGAGGCAGGCAGACCCTGGAGCTCACTGGCCAAAGACCTAGCTGGACTGACAGCTCCAGGCAAGGCACAGTGAGACCCCATCTAAAAACCAAGGTGGAGAGATTGTGGAGACCACTGCCTTTCCAATTTGGACATATTTTGTCCTTGCAGCCACAGGCCTTGGCCTCCTACTACTGGGTAACAGCTGAAGGAAAGGTGCTGGTCCAGCAAGGAGAAGCCATGGGCGGGGGGTGGGGGGAGGCACTGAGACTTCTAAAGGTCTTCTAGTCCAAGCAGAGGCAGGAAGACTGACAGTGATTGATAAGTCACCAAGTTCCCGCATGGACTGAGCACGTCCTGTGTGCTAGGCTCTCAGCAAAGCATCATCCACGTTACTGATTAGCTCAGTTCTTGTTCAAGGGATGCCTAGATGCAGGAACTGTGATTGGGTCCAACAGCCCAGACTGGTCTCAAACTGGCTGTGAGATTGAGGATTGCCTTGCACACCTGAGTTTCCTGCACTTCCTCCCAAGTGCTAGAATTTATAGGCATACATCACCACGCTAGGCTCCCAAGAATCTTTTATGTGATCAAGACCAAACTTGTTCTAGAATAGGTCTGGACCAGAAAGAGATTGCAGGGCATATAAGAACATCCTAGAAAGGTAATGATCCTAACTAGAGAGTAGAGAACCACAATACCATAAAAATATATATATAAACATGTGCAAAAATGGGCAATAAGTGGGAATAAGCTAGTATTACCAAATAAATATAAAAGGCAAGAGAACTGTGAAAGAAACATTTGTCCTCAGAAGAGACGATACTAAAGCCTAGCAAAGACCCTGAATAAGCTTAGTGTCAAAAATAAACCAAAAACATAAAACACAAACATTTAGAAAAAGAAAATAGAGCTGTCAGTTTAGGTGCAAGCCTGGTTTGACTGTTTGGAGACATTTTGGCATTGAAAAAAATCAAAAGACCTTGAAGACAGTGCATCTGAGCCAGCAGGCTGGCTCAGCAGGTCAAGGTGTTTGCCATGTCAGCCTGGTGACCTGAGTTCCCGCCCCAGAACCCACAAAAAAGTAGAAGGAGAGAACCAACTCTACAGCTTGTCCTCTAACCTGTGTGCCTGCTGTGTCATGTGTGCCTCCCCCCATATACCATATGCATACACAATAATAATAAATAAATAAAATTAATGCGAAGCTACATAACCATGAAAGTATAAATAGAACATTATAAGGACAAATCCTAGCCTTGTACGGTGTCTCCAAATTGATCACATTGTCTCATTAGTACAAATGTGTGATGATTCTGACAGGGTCCATAACAGCAAAAATAACTAGCAACTGAGGAGTTAGACTACAAGAAGATCTATAGAGTCAGGCAGTGGTGGCGCACGCCTTTAATCCCAGCACTCGGGAGCCAGAGGCAGGTGAATCTCTGTGAGTTCGAGGCCAGCCTGGTCTACAAGAGTTCCAGGGCAATTAGAACTATTACACAGAGAAACTCTGTCTCGAAACAAAACAAAACAATAAAAAAAGACATCTATAAGAAGCTAGGCATGGTGGCAGGTTCATAGAGATGAACCTGGCAAGTCTGTGAATTCTGAAATCCTTCACAACCCCATGGGTATGCACCTTCTGTGGGGCCTGCCGGTTGCCCACTCCCTGCACCTCTTCCCCCTTGCCCAGGGCTCACCTTCTGAGGAGAAACAAGGGGGACGGCGGTCTTGCCCTCAGCACTGACAATCACATCTCCAGGAACGACGATGGGGTCAGGTTGGAGTGTCAAGCTTTTGAGCACTGCGGGGTCCTTTCCTTCATCACAGTTATCCCAGGAGAAGCTGCTGAGTCGGGGAGGCTAGGGAAAATCAGACAGCAAAGGGGGAAGTGAAGGAAAAGAAGCGTTTAGGCGCGGAAGACTTGGAGGCCTGCTGGCGCCCTTCTGAGACCCGTGGTAACAGTTACACTCTTCTGATCCATTCTTCAGGCAGGACTCCAAGGACAGCCTCCCAACGTGTGAGGTGAAGGTCCATTAAAACAGACCTTGAACTTCAAAATGAAAGGGGCTGGGATGCAGCTCAGTTGGTAGAATGCTTGCCTGGCATGTTGGAAACCTTAGGCTCCAACCCCAGCACTGCACAGACCCAGTGTGGTGGCATAGGCAGCGCTTGGGAGGTGGAGGCAGGAGTGTTGGGAATTCAAGATCATCTTCAACTAGGCCATCACAGGCCAGTCTGAATGTGTAAGACCCTGTCTGGGGCAAGGGAGGGGAAACTTAGCTGGGTGTGGTGGTATGAGCCCGTAATGTAAGCACTTGGGTTGAGGCAAGATGATGGAATGTTTGTGGTCACTCTAGATCAGCCCAGGCTACAAGGAAAGAAGGAAAGATGGATTGAAGGAAGGAGGAAGGAAAGGTGGGAGGGAGGGGGAAGGAAGAAGGTCCTACCTCTGGCTAAAGAAGTACTGGCAGTTGAGGGGAATTCCTTATTTGTGTGTGGAGGGGGAGGTACTCACAGCAGCCCTCACCCTAAGTCATGCACACATGGGCAACACTAATTGGATCCAGTGGGTTATTATATTAAAAGGAAGGAGATGAAACTGGTAGGCAGATGTGCTGGGCAATTGGAAGGGAAGGTGTGGGATTGTACTGGAGATGATCTAAATACATTGTACACAAGCTACCAATGAATAAATAAATATTCTTTTAAAAATGGAATTAACCCCACCTAGCTTTGGGGGTTCTTCCTCTGATTCTCCTGCCACCCATTTCTTTCCAGCCAGTTTTAGGTCAGCACAGGACAAGCTCCTGAAAACGTCACCCTTGTATTGAGCCTGGTCATGTCCCACCCCATGTCCAATCCAAGGCTAGCAAGAATGGGGAACACATTATCCTGGGGATGGGGAACAACAGTAACCCAAGCCTCATCCTTTAGGGAACAAACAGGATCCACAGGATGAGACCTACAGGGGTCCCTCAATGATGAGCAATCCCAGGAAATGACTTTTCCATCTTGCAGGCACATTCTTACTCCCATATCATGAACCACACCAGATCCCCAACCTGAGTCACCCACTACTCCTCTACACAAGACCTTTCCTGCCCTTCCTCCATGTGCCCCAGGTTCACCTCATGTGACCTCACCCCAGAACCTCAGGATCTAGAACTCATCCCACGCCTCCCTTCCCCTCTCCATCTCTCCTTTCATACACACTCACAGGCCTCAAAGGCCACCCACAGGGATCCTCAGCATTGCTATTATCCACACACGGGCTTTGGAAATCCTGCACCCCAGCCTGGTCTCCATCTTAACACATCCATAAGCCATCAGGACCCAAGGAACACCTGATCCAAGCTAAGCCACAACTTCTCCCTGCCCGGTTTTGGAATTAAGACACAAGAAGCTGTGTGGCCCTATGACATGAAGCTTGGCACTATCTTGGGTCCAAAGTTTTAATCTGGGTTCCAAACATGTACACCTGTGACTCAACACCAAACTCAAGTTGAAGAGACAGGGCTAAGGCCTCTTCTGTCCTATGGAAAAGGGACACAGAGTCAGTCACCCATACGATCTACTACAGCACTGAAGGAGACAGGCATGGTGATAGAACACCTGCACTTGGGATCTGAGGCGGGAGGGATTTCAAACTTGAAGCCAGTTTAGGCTACATAGTGAGACCCTGTCCTCAAAACAGAACAAAAAGCAATATAAAATCAGGCATGGGCCACAAGGCCTGTAATCCCAGGGGCATTCGTGAGGTGGAGACAAGCTCAGTAGTTTAAAGTCATCCTCGAGTACACAGTGAGTTCAATGACAGCCTGGAGTGCTACTCAGAAAAACTAGGCTCCAGTCAGACAGACCTGGGCTGAAAGCACAGCTTGGCACACATACTGCCTTGGAATCCTGACTTCTGCGCCTTCTAAGTGGAGGCCCTTACAGCTTCCTCTCAGGGCTGTTGCAAAAAGATGAGAACACATATATAAGAACTCATGACATGGTGTCAGACACCGAGCATGAGCTGGCTCACTGAATGACAGCCATGTGCCTCCCTGTTTCCTGCCACCAACTCCATAAGATCCCTGGGAGCCTGTTAAACTCCATGCTCAAGCTTCTCGGCATGGGCTTCTGCTCCCTGGAATGAAAGGCCACACTGTGACTAAGAAAGGCAGGGCCAGGGTAGGTACCAGCAGATATTTTACTCAAACTTCATTCCACAAGTATTTATGAAGCAACTATTTCAGGTCCTGGACTAAGGGCTATGTAAACAATAGAAGCAGTCAGTGATGCCCAGCCTTGTGTGGCTTATGGTCTAATGTAAATAAACATTACCCAGGCTGGCGGTATAACTCGGAGGTAGAGAGCTTGCCTAGCATGCCTGAGGCTCTGGGTTCAAACCCGAGTACCAAAGGTTAGAAAAAGGAAGAGAGAAAGGCAGGGAGGATGGGAGGATCCGGAAGGTGTGGGGAGTAACTCAGGTCTTACTGAGGGCAGTTAAGAGGTGACACTTAAGATGCTCTTTCAGGATGAGAAGTCAGCCATTGCTACAGACGGAGCACAAGCCAAGATCCCGAGGAAGAAATTCAGCTGGATGAGGCACTGCAAAAAGACCAACAGACTAGCCATGTTGGACAAGGGACCTGGCTGATACTGGAGGGGTAGCAGGCTCATTTATGATAGGCCCTCACAGCTCACATTCAAGAAATGTGAGCTTTTCTTGAATTTTATCACCTTCAGATAAAAGTATTACGCTTTGAGGAGAAGGGTGGAGGGGATGATCATAAGACCAAGTGGAAAAAAAAATGATTGAGGGGCTGGAGAGATGACTCAGAGGTTAAGAGCACTGGTTTCACTTCCAAAGGTCCTGAGTTCAACTCCCAGCAACCACATGGTGGCTCACAACCATCTGTAATGAAATATACTGCCCTCTTCTGGCCTGCAGGGACATATGCAGGCAGACCACTGTATACTTAATAAATAAATAAATAAATCTTTAAAAAAAATTGTTTGAGTAGTAACCTGGGCTGAAATAGTGGGGGAGAAGGGGAAGGCCTGCTCCCCAAATCAGCAGCCTGATTCGCACTGAGGATTGATTTTGGGCATAGGGAAGTTTCCAGAGTGCCCTTTCGGAATCCTCCACCCTTTCCTGAGCACCTCTTCACCCAGCCCTAGGAGCTTCTCACAAAGTGTTTGCCCACTGGCAGGGAGGGCCTGGGCGGCAGCAGCTGTAACACATTCCAGCACCTGAGTCCAGGCTCACAGGGAAAGGGAAGATGGAGATCAACGGTGCCTACCTGGGAGATGTCATCCCCAGCCTAGACTAAGGCTCAGGAAGGACAAGCCAGAATGTGACAACAGAAAGATGTGGCTACATAGGCAGGAGATAGGGCCAGCGATGAGCATAGGTTAAAGTCACATACCTGCTGCTGCCACTCTCCCTAGCAGGTGCCTCAGGCATGTTAACTAAGCCCTGGTCAACTTCTGCATTGTGCAAATGGGCACAACTATATCTTCTGCCAGGACAATGCCAGAATTAAAAAGTCTGTACACAGAAAGCAACAGGACTCCGCTCCTAAAGACGGCCAAGCTCATTTAAATGTCCCGTCCCAGGCCTGAGAAGAGTGGGACGATGTGACAGGGATGACAACACGGTCCCCGAGCAGGTGCTGGAACAGAAAGAGGACATTCATGGGAAACTGATGAGACCCAAATAAAGGCTAGTTCAGTTCACACTGGCTTCATGGTTTTAACGAGCATACACTGATAATCTGGGATACTAACAAGGGCAATTAGGCAAATACATGAAATTCTATCCTACCCCTATAAATTATTCCAAAGCTAAGATCATTAGAAAAGTTCCCTGTAACCCCAGCAATTGGGAGATAGAGGCAGGGAAGTCAGAGTTCAAGGTCATCCTTAGTTACGTACAGAGTTTTACATTAGCTGGGGTTACAGAGACCCTATCTCAAAATAATTTTTTTTTTTCTGAGACAGGGTTTCTCTGTGTAACAGTCCTAGCTGTCCCAGAACTGACTTTGTAGACCAGGCTGACCTCAAACTTGAGAGATTCACCTGCCTCTGCCTCCCATGCGTGCCTCCACCGCCTGGCTGAAAAGAAATGTTTAAAAAGTACAAAGCTCAACCCATAGCACACAGTAGGTATACAATAAGTGATACCCACTATATAACACAGAGTCTAATAATTGCCTCCTATCTTCCTGGCATAGAGCCAGCTACTCTGCTATTATCCGAGAATCTCCACAAACCAGGGTCACAAGATCAGTCAACAATACAAGAGGAAGCCAGGGCTCCGGGAGGCTCACTCACTCACTCACTGGTCACTCCACAGCCTCCTTCAGCCCATGACTGCAAAGTCAGGTTCTGAGCACATAAGCCTACAGAGAAGATGTAGATGGCAGAAGGTAAGGTTCAGAAGGAACACTCACTGAGACATCTTGAGTAAGTCCCTAAGGGACAGAAGGAAGTTGGTGCCTCCAAATTGGCTATCTGAGCTCCAGAAGTTAAGCGGTACCCTCAGGCAAAGCACACAGGAGACAGAGAGATAACCTCCAGCCCAGTCTCTAACTGTTGAGGACACCAAGAGACAAGCTGCCTAGCCTCTGGGCAAATGAAGTCAAAAGGTCCTTCCTCCCACCTGTTACAGACTTCCTGCCTCCAGACTAAACAAGATGAAGGCCGTGCTGGCCTCAACCCTACTACTCTTTTGGCATTCTGCAAAATTATCTCCTTCATGAAAGCCCCCTGTGCTGGCATCACACCCATTTTACAGACAGCAGACCAAGGCTCAGGTTATCCACAATCGACAACAAAAGAGGAATCAGAAGTCACCGCCCCCCCACCATCACCACTTTCAGTCTCTCTCTTCCCTTTACCGCTCCAGGCTTAGACAAACCTCCCTGTCAGTGGCAGGAGGAAGAGGATCTGGAGGACAAAGATTTACCCCTTTTCGCCACAGCAAACGGTCATGGAACTGGACTTTTTACTCAGAATGACCAAACTTCCCTTTCCCAGGGGTACGCAGCATAGGAGCAGAAGAGAGAAAGACTTGGGAAGTGAAAGATTTGGGGGTCCAGGGAGCCTCAGTAGTTCACAATCAGGAACAGCGGAATCCCACGGCTGATCCTCAGTCCCTCGGTGGCCAAATTTGGATCTCGATGTCTGATTCAACCGCCCCACCCGCAGGAAGACCTCCGAGTCAAGCAGAAAACAGGGGGGGAAACCAATGGGTAATGCAGCGAGTCACAGACTGAGAACCTGGGCCTGGGGCCGGTGCGATTGTACTGCTGCCTTGCACCCAAAAAGGATGGTACAGAAGCAATCGGAAGAGACGAGTCCCTCCAGAACAATCGGAAGCAAGCAGTCCTTGGCTGCAGCAGAGGGTCTGTTTCAGGAACGCAACTCCAGGGTTTGGGACACTCACGCGCTTCGGGCCGAGGCGCGCAGGGGCGGCGGGGCCCGCGAGCAGCAAGCCCAGCACGAGCAGCAGCGGTACACGATGCATGACGACGAAGGCCCTCACGGTCGATCTAGAAACTGCCGCTCACAGGTGCCTTTAAAGCCCGCTGGTCGCTCTGCAAAGCCGGGCCCGCGCTCAGCGCTCCGCCCCGCGCTGCCCAGATTGCAGGCCCCAGGAGGGACTTCTCCAGCCACGCCCCCAGAACCGCCCGCTTCAGCCCCACCCTCAACGGCCTACCGCAGGGGCAGTGCCAGTGGGCCAAGGGGCGGAGCTGAGTGCCGAGGACAAAACAGGCTCTACGAGAGGCGGGGCCGATTGAGGGCGGAGCTGAGGGAAGGGGCGAGGCTAAAAGGTCGGGGAAGGGACGAGCGCAAGGGGCGGGACTGCGTGAGGGGTGTGGCTAAGAGGAGGGCGGGGCGGGAGGGGGCGGGGCTGAATGTAGAGAAGCAGTTATCAACCCGCGGGTGGGCGGGGCCTGTCTGGGGGCGGGGCGAAGCGCTGGGGCGGGTCCGTAGCCTTCGGAAGGCTAGGGCTTCCATCTTCTTGAAGTTCTGATTTTTTTCCCCTCCCAAATTCTTATCTGTACAAATACAAAGGTCCCTGCCAGTTTCCCCGCTTCCATCGTACCCGTGACTCCTGGCGGCTGACTTTTAACAACTTTTGCTAAGCCCCTGAGGCTTTTTGAGAGTCAGGAGATTGGCCTCATTAGTCCGGAGGAAACATCTGCGCCTGGGGTTGAACTGAGAGTACAGTGGGGTTTACCGCGATCCGCGATCTTTTGCTAAAACATTGCCAAAGTTTAAAATCCAAAGCACAAACAAAATACCAGAAATGTCAATGTTGAGAGGACAGAGATCGCACATATTGTCGCCGCAGCAGCCTGAGGAGTTCGAGATCTCCACTAGGACCAAACCCCATGGACTTCGTCGCTGAAAGGAATTTCAGGACTAGCCGCATGGTGAAGCAGAGTTGGTGGTTTTATTAAAAAATATTTGAATATAGATTTAAGCATGAGGTTTATGAGACAAAAATGGTGCTCAGAAAAAAGTTAAGACACACTGGAGGATTGATTGGTCTTCTCAAAGTCTCGCGTTTCAAGAGTCTTCTTTTCTTACAATAGATTTCGGAAGCTTTTTGGAATTCTATTTCTCCACGTTTCTGGGAATCCGATTCCTGTTTCTTTATTTGATAACTAATGTTGCTGGTTGGCTCCAGAAATGTCTTGGGCAGGGTTCCAAGCTGGTCAGCTAAAATCAGAAGCCCCTGAACTTGCACAAGGGGCTGAGTGCATGTGCTTCTTGGTAAATGGAGTTTCTAGTAAGATTGCTAGAAAATTGTAGACTTATATCTAGGAATGGGGGTTGGCGCCTTAGGCAATAGGTAATTCTGCTGGCATTCTTGCTTTTCTACTCCAACCAGATTCCAAGTGAAGGGGCTCCTTTTTCCTTATCTTCCCCTATTTTTCCCTATCTTTCTTTTTTATTGTTTTTTATTGATATTTAAATTGAGCTTTACATTTTTCTCTGCTCCCCTCCCTGTCTCTCCCCTTCTCCCTTCAACCCTCTCCCAAGGTCCCCATGCTCCCAATTTATTCAGAGATCTTGTCTTTTTCTACTTTCTACTTCCCATGTAGATTAGATCTATGTAAGTCCCTCTTAGTGTTCACATCGTTGTCTAAGTTCTCTAGGATTGTGGTTTGTAGGCTGGCTTTCTTTGCTTTATGTTTAAAAATCACCTATGAGTGAGTACATGTGATAATTGTCTTTCTGAGTCTGGGTTACCTCACTCAAAATAATGTTTTCTAGCTCTATCAATTTTCCTGCAAAATTCAAGCTGTTGTTATTTTTTTCTGCTGTGTAGTACTCCATTGTGTAAATGTATCACATTTTTCTTATCCATTCTTTGATTGAGGGACATTTAGGTTGTTTCCAGGTTCTGTCTCTGACAAACAAAGCTGCTATGAACATAGTTGAGCACATGTCCTTGTGGCACAACTGAGCATCCTTTGGCTATATACCCAAAAGTGGTATTATTGGGTCTTGAGAAAGGTTGTTTCCTAATTTTCTGAGAAATCGCCACACTGACATCCAAAGGGGTTGTACCAGCTTGCATTCCCACCAGCAATGCAGAAGTGTTCCCTTTTCCCCACAACCTCTCCAGCATAAGTTGTCATCAGTGTTTTTGATCTTGGCCATTCTTACAGGTGTAAGATGGAATCTCAGAGTTGTTTTGATTTGCATTTCTCTGATGACTAAGGATGTTGAACATTTCCTTAAGTGTCTTTCAGCCATTTTAGATTCCTCTGTTGAGAGTTCTCTGTTTAGGTCTGTACTCCATTTTTTTTATTGGATTATGTGATCTTTTGGTGTCCAATTTCTTGAGTTCTTTATGTATTTTGGAGATCAGACCTCTGTCTCATGTGGGGTTAGTGAAGATCTTTTCCCATTCTATAAGCTGTCGTTTTGTCTTGTTGACCGTGTCCTTTGCTTTACAGAAGCTTTTCAGTTTGAGGAGGTCCCATTTATTGTTTCAGTGTCTGTGCTGCTGGGGTTCTATTTAGGAAGTAGTTCCCTGTGCCAAAGCGTTGAAGTGTACTTCCCTCTTTCTCTTCTATAAGGTTCAGTGTGGCTGGCTTTATGTTGAAGTCTTTAATCCCTTTGGTCTTGAGTTTTGTGCATGGTGATAGATATGGGTCTATTTTCATTTTTCTACATGTTGATATCCAGTTATGCCAGCACCACTTGTTAAATATCCTTCCTTTTTTCTATTTGATATTTTTTACTTCTTTATCAAATATCAGGTTTTCGAAAATGTGTGGATTGATATCCGGGTCTTCTATTCAGTTCCATTGGCCCTCCTATCTGTTCTTATGCCGATACCAGGCTGTTTTCAGTACTGTAGCTCTGTAGTAGAGTTTGAAGTCAGGGATTGTGATGCCTCCAGAAGGTCTTTTATTGTACAGGATTGTTTTGGCTGTCCTGGGTTTTTTGCTTTTCCATATGAAGTTGAGTACCATTCTTCCGAGGTCTTTGAAGAATTTTGCTGAGATTTTGATGGGCATTGCATTGAATCTGTAGATTGTTTTTGGTAAGATTGCAGAAAATTTTAAATACTGTGCCTTAGAGATCCCGAAACAAAAAGACACCTCTGATCTGCAAGCCCCTTGCCCAAGAACAGATAGCTACTGAAATGCTGCAGGCCATTGTTTATGGGAGATAGCAAGTCACACGTTGGTTGTTTTTCTCTACCCTAAACAAGTTTATTTAACCCTTCGTCACCAGAAGTGCTTGATCACACGTTGGCAGGAGATTGGCACCAGAAGAGTTTGATCACACGTTGGCAGGAGGTTTGCAGAAAATATGTCAGTACATACATTTGCCCCAAATTGGATGTAGGCTGGAGGTGTTATCAGGATGTATGCCTTCCCCTGAAGGACCTGATGGGAAATGAAGTGAATTATGGGTTTTCCTCCTTAAGCCCTTTCAAAACTTGATTGGAGCCATTTCCCAGGAACCTGGGTATGAACCTGGCCAGAGCCCATCCATCTGGCCTCAAACTTGCCTCAAATTTGGCTTTAAACTGTGGTAGTGGTCTTAATCTCCATCCATGGGATTAACAGCATTCCTATAATAACCCCAGAACTCTTGAGCCTCCTGCCTCCAGTTCCCCAAAACTTTACTTCATTTTGGGTTTTTTCTTTTGGTCTAGTCTTTTGCTTTTTTGAAACAGAATCTCACTATGTAACTCTAGCTGGCCTCAAACTTGCTATGTAGACCAGGCAGGCCTCGAACTCACAAAAATCCACCTACCTCTGTCTTTTTCAAGTGTTGGGATGAAGAGCGTGCGCCCCCTGCCGCCCGGCTTCTTTTATTTCCACTCACCGTTTGTACTTAATCTTTCAGGGTTAGATGACAGCTCTTATCTCTAAGCCACGTGTTGGTGTACTTTTATAATCCCAGCAGTCCAGAGGCTGAGGGAGATTGCCAGGAAGGTGAAGCCAGCCTGGGCTTCACATTGAGTCACAGGACTGAGATAATGGGTACTTTTCCGAGACACAATTGTTTTGTCTGTGGTGATGGGGCTCTCGACTTTAAGCAAAGTCAGGGAAATAAAGTGTTACTATTATCTGTTTTCTTTTTTATTTATGTATACGAGTGGTTGGTTGTCTATGTGTCTATATGTACACAAGGTGCCCGTTCAGGAGATGACACTGGATCCCTTGAAACTGGCATTACAGATGTCTGCAAGCTACCATACAAATGCTGAAAACCAAACCCAGGTCCTCTGGTCCTCGGCAAGAACAGCCAGTGCCTTTAACCATTGAGACATCTCTCCCACCTCCTCTTTTGTTTTGTTGTTGTTTTAGGATTTTATTTCCTTTTTGAACAATGGTGACTATACTTAGCTTCTTACAACTGTGAAAATCCAAAGGATGTTTCCCCACCTCTCCTCCCACATCTTTTCTATATTGGCAGGGGGTCAGGGTTCTTGTGTGCACACGTCCGGAAGTCTGAGAAGAACTTACAAGAGACCAGGTGGGTCTCGGGAACCAAACTCTTGTCAGATTAGCAGCAAGTGCTTCTAACCACTGAACCATCTTGCTGCCCCATCCCTCCTCCTCCTCCTCCTCCTCTTCCTCCTCCTTCTTCTCTTTTCTTCTTCTTCTTCTTCCTCCTTCTCTTCCTCCTCCTCCTCCTCCTCCTCCTTCTTCTTTTTCTATTTCTTCTTTTGTATTTTTAAGACAGGGTCTTACCCTGTAGTTCTGGCTGTCCTGGAACTCACCACGTAGACCAGGCTGGCCTTGAACTCACCTGTCTCCCAAGTACTGGGATCAAAGGTGTGCACCACCACCATGAAAGGCATGGTCTCACTATATAATTCAAGCTAGCCTAGAATTCAAAACATAGCCCAAACTGACATAGAACAAGAAGCAATCTTCCTGTCTCAGCCTCCCAAGCACTGGATTACAGACCCAAGTTACCACACTCAGCCACCTAATCATTTTTTTGTTAATCTGTTTCCAAAGTTCCCATTCCATTTATCCACTCATGTATTTACTTGTGTGTGTACACCTGTGTATGTGAGTATGTGTTTAACACTAGAAGAGAGGTGAAGTATATCACAGTGATAGGGGGCTCATGCAGCAT